CTTTGTGATCTAGATGCCTTTTATTTCCATTTCTTGCCCAATTCCCCTTACTAGAGTTTCTACTATAGTGTTAAGTAGAAGTCGTGAGAGTAAACATCCTTCTTTTGTTCCTGTTTGTAGGAGGCAAATTTTCTTTTCTTTCTTTCTTTCTTTTTTTTACTATTTTAAGTATCATGTTAGCTGTGAGTTTTTCATAAATGCCCGTATCAAGTTGAGGAAGTTCTCTTCTATTCCTAGTTTGTTGTGTGTTTGGTTTTGTTTTTATCATGAAAAGGTGCTGGATTTTGTCAAACATTTTTAAAATGTCCATTGAGATGATCGTGGTTTTTTATCCTTTAAACCTTTAAGCCCCTATTAAAATGGTGTTTTACTTTGACTGATTTTGCTATGTTTAACCAAACTTGCATTTCTGGAATAAATCCCACTTGGACATGTTGTATGATCCTTTTTCTATGTTGCTAGATTCTGCTCGATAATAATTTATTGAGAATTTTTGCATCTGTATTCATAAGGAATATTGGTCTATAGTTTTGTATTCTTGTGATGTCTTTATCTGGTTTTGATGTCAGTAAAATAGTAGCCTCTTGAATGAGTTAGAAAATATTACATCCTCTTCTATTTTGTTCTTGTTTTTGGAAGAATTTCTGAAGGAGTGGTGTTAATTCTTCTTTAAACATTTGGTAGAATTCACCAATGATGCCATTTGGTCTTAAGCTTTTTTTCTGTGGGGGGTTTTATTAGTTGACATGCATTTTTTATTGCTAGTGACACTAAAATTTTATTTTTACTGTTGTTTCTACGTGTTACTTTTTTCTTTTTAATTTTAATTCCAGTATAGTTAACATACAGTGTTATATTTGTTTCAAGTAATAGTGACTCAACAATTCCATACATCACCCAGTGCGCATCACAAGTTCATTCCTTAATCCCCATCACCTGTTGACACTAACATTTTAGAATATATGTTTTCATTTATAATCCTTTTAGGTACATCTGAAATTTTAATCCTTGCATTGATCTGTCACAGTGTTTTATATAAAATAGGTATATACAGGTATTCCCCACTTTTTGAAAGTTCATGTTGTGCCATTCACTTTTGTAAAAGACCTACATTAGTACTTGTTTTAGTAAGTGAAAGAAATCTGAAGATGATTTTCACTTTCACACAAAAAAGCACAAGTTGAAGACCGCACTCTGCATTGGTTTTGCAGCAAGTCATTATAGAGGCAGTGCACACCCCAAGCAACGAGATTGGCGCTGCCGAGCTCCTTCCCTGGAAACTGTACACAGTAGCTCTGCATCAAGCCGCCATAGCTTTGAGCTCTGTGAGCATCCGTGCTTTATCTCCATTTATTTTGTGCATGTATTAGCAAGATGTGTCCTGGGGTATCAGAAAAGGCTTTACAAGGTTGTTTTTTGGTCTGGGAATACCCAAAAAATTTTCCACATACCATAGTGGTAATTGCTTCTTCACTTTACATCATTTTGACTTAACAGAAGGTTTCACGGGAATGGTCTACTTTTGGATAGTGGAGGAAACCTGTAATACTTTTGAATAGTGGAGGAAATCTGCAAAGGGCAAGTTTCTCCTCATTACTCTTATTATTTTAAAGGATATTTACTTTTTAAAAGGTAAAATCATAACTGTCATACAGGCAAAAAATGAATATTAACATTTATATCTTATAAAATATAGAGTTGATATCTCATTAATTCATGAGGAAACCATTAAGATGTGACAACAGGTTTGAAAAAGAATTCAATGAGCCACACATCTCAAGGCAGAAGGAATGCTGAAGTGAGTTTACGAATAGATGCAGAACTAGCTTATTCCATAGGTAGGAGAGGTATATTCATCAGAGTTCTCCAGAGATAAGAACTACTAAGATATATAGATATATAGAGATGATAGAGATATATCAGAGATTTTTATAGGATCTGGCTTACGTAGTCACTGAATGTTGAGAAGTTTCATAGTCTGCCATGAGCAAACTGGAGAACTAGAAAATCTGATGGTTTAACTTCTTCTGAGGCTGAAGGCCTGAGAACCAGGAATTTCAGTGTTTGAAGGCAGGAGAAGATGGATGTCCCAGCTCAAGGAAAAAGAGAAATTATTCACCATTCTTTCACCTTTTTGTTCTATTCAGCCATCACTGGATTGGATGATGCCCACAGCATTAGTCAGAGTGAATCTTCTTTTCTTGGTCTACTGATTCAAATGTTAATCTCTTCTGGGGAAACACGTTCACAGACATACCCAAAAACAATGTTTTACCAGCTCTGTAGGCATATCTTAGCCCAGCCAAGTTGACAGGTGAAATTAACTATCACAGAAGGGAACTCAATGTCCTTCATTAGATATACTTCATTTGAGTGTTACTGGTTAATGTATTAGTTTGCTAGAGGTGCCTTAATATAATGCCACAGACTGGAGAATTTAAACAATGGAAATCTTATATTCTCACAGTTCTGGAGGCTGGAAGTCCAAGATTAAGGCCCTACAGGTTTGGTTTCCGGTGAGGCCTCTTTCCTTGTCTTGCAGACAGCAGGCTTTTTGCTGTCCTCATATGGTATTTTCTCTATGTGCACACTCCTGGTGTCTTTCCTCTTTATATAAACACACCAATCCTATTGGATTAGGACCCCACCCTATGACCTCATTTAATCTTAAGTATCTCCTTAAAAGGCCCTATCACCAAATATAGTCACATTGGAGGTTAGAGCTTCAACATAGGAATTTGGGGGAGAGAGGGACAAAATTCAGTCCATGATAGTTATCTACAATTTACAAGAGTTGTAAAGTTGCTCAGACAATGAAAAGTGTAGAGACCCCACACTTAGATACCTAGATGATGCCTAATTTTCAACTGAAGATATTTCCTTTGAAGATATTCCATTGAAGATATTTCCATTGAAGAAAGTCATTTACATTTTCCCCTACAATGAAAAAAAAAGTATTTGCTATTCTTATGTTTATTTATCCAAATGAATTTTACAATACTGTTGTATAATTTTTACAATTGTGCTAAAATTTAAACTAGTATGGTTTAAAATTTTAAAACATGGTGAGAGGAATTTTACATTGGTATTTTACTATATGTTTCTATCCAGGAACATTTGAGGGTTTTGTTTGTTTGGTTGGTTGGTTTTAAGCTCTCATTAAATCTTTGCAGTTTTCATCATTTGGATTCTGAACAATTCTTAACTTCAAAGTAATTTATCTTGGTATTGTGAGGGAAATTCCTATTTCCTTTATAGTTTTTAAAATAGTCATCACTGGAACCTAGTGGTTTTTAAAAATAATGAGTTCTGTACCCATCATCTTACATTTATTTTTATTTTTACATTCATCCTTATAGCTGGGTAAATTGAGAATGTAAGTAATTTGACTACTCATGGTTCCAGTAAGAGCAAATTGATTGCATCTAAGAATAGTGTGTCTGTCTCTGCATGTGTACAAGTGTGTGTTGGGAGGGGGCTGGGTAGGAACTTGAGACAACTACCTTAAGGATGTCTTCTTGGAATTAACGCTATTTATCTTGGAGACCTAGATTCCCAGAGCTGGATTAACCATTTCCTGTGATATGGCCTCTCCTGGTTTTGGAAGGAACTAGGAAACAAGGGTTAATTGTACAAGTAATGAAGTTCCTTGAGATCCATGGTCCATTAGCATACAAGTTACTTAACTGTATGTATAGCTCTTCTCCAGATTTCTGGATACTACTGTTAAAAAAAATGTTTTGATTTAGATTTTATTCCTTTGCTCTTGGAATACTCAGCTTTCTCTAACACAGAGTTCCAGGCTTTTTCAAGTCTACTTAAGTCAAAGTAAGTGGCAACCTCATGAGTGCTACAGTAGCATTAAGCATTCCCTGGGATACCTACAGAGATCATCTGGAAGGGATTATTTGTTTCAACAGATTTTCAATGCAGATAAAACCTGTCCATTTTGGAGAGAGAGGTCAGAGAACATATACCAGCCCAGGGAAGAATATGCCGGGTTTTAAAGCTCCAATCGCTTCATACTTCTATTTAACATCCTAGACAGGCATCTAGAGTTACACCCCTCCTGGAGACTTAGGAACAAATGCTTTCATCTTTTGATACACTGATCTTTTGAAACCAAACATGTTCCTAAATCGAGGAACACTGTACTCTCACATCTTCCGAGAAGCTTTCCCTAACCCCAGCCTACCTCCCAAATTGAATTACCCCTTGTCTGAAATCTTACACCACCTCATTTTATTCTTCTATGGCCTTGGCACCGTCTCCATTTGTGTTGTTCATGCTGCCGATCTTACCTCTCGCACTGTGCAGACAAGATCCTGCCTGATTGGGCATCTCCCACTGCACTTACCCAAATGCTTTGCATATAGGAGACGCTCAAGATTAAGAAATTTTCAGGATGGATATTTTGCTAATCTGTAGTACCTGGAATTTTCTACTGAAAATTACCAACGTTCAATTAACTTCAATTTCGTAGTTTGGGATTTTTAGAAAACTACGCCCGCCCTTCAAGAAATGCCTAACAATTTAACCAGGGCTAGTGCCAGTTTAGGAATAAGACATTATCAACCCACTTCTATCACATAAGGATTTGAGGCCTATCATCATCTTTCCACGTTGTCTAATTCAAGTTAGGGTGGTAAAAGAGAACCTTTTTTCTTTTAGCAGTCTGGTCTGCTCCCCTTCTCTGGCCTCATTCTTTCCTTTTGTTAGTCAATGACTTCAGCCTCTGCCTTCGAGTTTAACGGTTTGTGCCCCACGCGTACCCCCTCGTCTTTTGGTGATTAGAGGTGTTCAAAACTTATTCTGACACAGAATCCTCCCTCATTTCCGATTCCTTTACTTCTTGGGGGTGGGAAGAGTTTCTTCGCTTTGAAACGCTGACAAGGAAAAAGAATGGGGGAGAAAGTTGCATTTAAACGTTTCAAAGTTGAGTCACGGCTGGTTGCACAGCAAAAGCTCCGCAGTGTGGAGGAAGACTAAACGTGGCTTGGATGGCGCAGGGTTGGGCTGGGGCGACTTCTGGGGAACGTAGCCGGGGTCGAACCCCTAGAGCTGCGGAGGCCTCTGCGGTCGCCTCGCGGCTCGCCCTCCGCACCTCCCCCGGCCCCGGCGGCGTTGGGCTCCCCGCCGGGACTGATGTCGCGCGCTTGCGTGCTGCGGCCAAAGCTTCCGACCCAGAGGCCGGCCCCAGAAAGCCCCGAGCGAGTAGGGGGTGGCGCGCAGGAAGGGAGGAGGGCCGGGGGCGTGGGGGGGTGTGGGTATTCGGGGGTGGAGATGTAGAAGATGTGACGTCGCGGCCCGGCCGGTGCCAGACCAGCGGATGCGGTGCCCGCGGTTGCTGCCGGATCCCGGGCGCTGCAGCTAGGGCAGGCGGCCCTCCCGAGAGCGGCGGCCGCGGAGACACCCGGCCCTAAACCCCAGCTCCCGAGCCCCACGGCGCACCGCGCACTCGGACAGCCGGAGAGGGGAGCGGCCGAGCGGCTCG